GCTCGGTGGTGGCGAGCTCAAGCCGCCCGTTTCTTGCTCCGCTGGCCGTCCGCTCATCTCTGCCACGTCATCAACCGCGTCCGCCACGTCAGCTACGGCCGCCTCATGGCCGACCGTGTGGCGGCAGTCGCTGCCCAGCAGGCGAGCATCGTCGAATCGTTGAACGCCACCTCGGGTGCCAGCTCAGCAGCCACGTCAGATGCCAGCTCAGCAGCCAACTCAGCAGACACGTCAGCTGCCAGCTCAGCAGCAGAAAGAGGAGATCCGCTGGACGATCTGCTGCTGCTGATTGCTGCCAAGGCGAGGGCAACCGAGAGGGAAATCCCTCCTGCCAATGGCAGCGCGACACGTGTACGGTCGTTGCAATCACATATCTGGCCAATGAGGGGCGTCTCAGGCTGCTATGGCAACCTTGGGAGCTCCACCAACAACCCTAGCAGCCCTGGCACCGCTCTCAACCGTTCCAGTTCCCAAGACCCTAACCAGAAGGCTACAGATGTGGGGGGGAGTGAGAGCATTGACATGGGGGGGGGAAGCGAGGGCAGGGGGAGTGGGGACATCATGGGGGTAGGGGGGGAGGTGCAGATGGTGCGACCAGTGGTGAGCATGCATGTGCGGTTGAGCGATAAAGGGTCTGAGATGCAGCTTCACCCGCTGCCGGCGTTCATGCTTGTTGCTGCCCGGCTGAGAGCGCACCAGCCGGGTCTGAAGCACGTTTGGCTGAGCACTGAAGTGCAGGTGAGAGGAGAGAGTGGAGGGAGATGGGAGTGGGGAAGCGGTGAGAATCAAGGGATGCAAATGCATGTGCGGCTGAGAGACTAAGAGTTCGAGATGTCTCAAAAGTGCTGCCAGTGGTGAGCATGCATGTGCGGCTGAGCGATAAAGGGTCTGAGATGCAGCTGCACCCTCTGCCGGCGTTCATGCTTGTGGCTGCCCGGCTGAGAGCGCACCAGCCGGATCTGAAGCACGTTTGGCTGAGCACTGAAGTGCAGGTGAGAGGAGAGAGTGGAGGGGGATGGGAGTGGGGAAGTGGTGGAAGCAAGGGATGCAAATGCATGTGCGAGTGAGAGACTAAGAGTTCGAGAGGTCTCTTGAGGTGATGCCTTTTGAGTCGACTCAAAAGTCAACTCTGAGAGACTAAGAGTTCGAGATGTCGCTTGAAGAGATGCCTCAAAAGTGCCGCCAGTGGTGAGCATGCATGTGTGGCTGAGCGATAAAGGGTCTGAGATGCAGCTTCACCCGCTGCCGGCGTTCATGCTTGTGGCTTCCCGGATGAGAGCGCACCAGCCGGACCTGAAGCACGTTTGGCTGAGCACTGAAGTGCAGGTGAGAGGAGAGAGTGGAGGGGGATGGGAGTGGGGAAGTGGTGGAAGCAAGGGATGCAAATGCATGTGCAGCTGAGAGACAAAGAGTTCGAGAGGTCTCTTGAGGTGATGCCTTTTGAGTCGACTCAAAAGTCAACTCTGAGAGACTAAGAGTTCGAGATGTCGCTTGAAGAGATGCCTCAAAAGTGCCGCCAGTGGTGAGCATGCATGTGTGGCTGAGCGATAAAGGGTCTGAGATGCAGCTTCACCCGCTGCCGGCGTTCATGCTTGTTGCTGCCCGGCTGAGAGCGCACCAGCCGGATCTGAAGCACGTTTGGCTGAGCACTGAAGTGCAGGTGAGAGGATAAGTATGGGAGTGAGGAACTTAAGTGCTAGTACCAGCTAGCACTTAGGACTTCCTTAGGACTTCCATTCAGGCTTCTCTGGTTTCTCGCCGCTGCATAATTTCTTTGCCATTTCTCACACATTCCTCTGCCTAAACTCGTCAGCAGCATCCCCATCTTGTCTATTATGTAAACGATCAGGATTCAGATTCTTCAGAACCTCATCCTGCCTCTCATGCTCATCCTCCTTCCTTCATGCCAGTCAGTCCATTCCTCTCCATTCTCATTGTTCATTTCTTTCATTTACTACAACTTTTTTTGTGAACAAAAATCCTTCCCGCCAACATCCTTCTCCCCTCCTCTCCCCGCTCCTCCCCATTTTTCACCTTCCAACTTCCCAGTCTGTAATCGACGAGACAAGCGATTATTCCGGCTGGACGTTTTTCTACACCAACGCCTCTAGAGTGCAGAGTGCGCAACAAATGAAAGACGAGCAGGAAAATGCCCAGCAACCAATAGCGAACATTTTCGCCAATTTGCTCATTACAGCGGAATGCGAATTTTTTATTGGGTCTCTGGGATCGAATTGGAACAGGCTTATTGATGAACTGCGCAGTACAAACGGACGGCTGTACTCAGGGCTTGTTTCATTTACGTTTGGGATGTAAGCGCCCGCTCGCGGGTCTAAATTTGCTTGTACAAGGAATCGTGCGCCGTTCTGACCGACCATGTTGTACTGTACACCAGTTGCTGCATCTGATATGACATCACCATAACTGCGAGAAGGGATGAAAAAATATATTGAGTGGCACAAAAAGGAAACACGGGCTTTGTAGGGACAAAACTACGGTGCATGTGCATCTTTAACCTTCCCCATCCGAAAGACAATCACACGGACCTATGGGAGCAGATGGCATGGTTCTCAAAAGATTATCAGAAGAAATAATATATATTAAAAAACAAACAAGGAATAAAAAGGCAAAAGAAGAACAGAACAAGACAAACAAGCACATCCCTACCTGGAGGAGCAGATGTCGGCGTTCTCCTCGCCCTGGTTGTCGAACCACGTGGCGAGGAAGGGGCTGCTGGTGGCCTCTGCGAGTTCATGCGCCAACACCGACACCATCCCGTCCATCCCCAAGTCGCCATTGGGGGACACTCGGGGATGCCGGTTGAGGTGAGGAGGGATGCAGCCCTCGGGGCACTGCGTGGGGGTGGTTGGAAGAAGGGCATAATTTGAGGCAGTCTAAGTAGGAAAAAAAAAAAAAAAAAAACCAACAACAACAACAAAATTGGCCCGAACAGGGGATGTTTGAACAAGGGTCGTGATTTCTTTTAAGACGCCCGTGCCCCTACACCCATCCACTGATATTGCATGTGCGATGATACCGAGTTATGGTGATATGCAGGTGGTGAGCCTCTGTGTGTGCGGTGATGGTTGTAGAGCGCACTAGCGTTGGGCTTGAGTGAAGGAGTTCCATCAGCAGTAGTGCAAACAGAACACCACTGGTACGTACGTCTGTGTTGACCCAGGTCACGTGGAAAGAGCTCATACCTGGTTGACTGCATTCCCCACAAACGAAATGATAAGTGGTTGCCCGTCCGCTCATTGTGTGAATGAGTGCCATCCGCAGTAGTGCAACCAGATATCGGTAACCTTACTGTGGTGTTAGTTTTCAATCTTACTTTAAGATCGCCACTGCTACCTCCGTAGTGCGACCAGGTGACCAGCAGGACGGGTGACTCATCCTGCTACCTACCTCGGTGTTGCCTTGCCAAACAGGATGGGTTCTTACCTGGTTGACTGCATTCCCAACGAACGAGATGATGAGTGGTCGCCCGTCCGTTCCTTGAGTGAAGGAGTGCCATCCGCAGTAGTGCGAGCAGAACGCCAGAGCATACTGCGTACCCCCGGTCCCGTTCGGATCATCCATCTGCGAAACGTCTTCGTCAGAAAGGACGAAATACACGCCGGCCGGGTCGTACGGCAGGGCCCCGTTCCCGACGGCTGATTGGACGAGCCCCGCCACGTCAGATCGCAGCAGCATGGTGCCCCGGGTGTATTTCGTGTCGTGAGTCTCGCCCTTTATAGTCACATTGGAGGAGATGTTTCGGCCCTGCTGGTCAAAGTAGAGTGTGTTGATGGCCCACCATGCCGGAACTGTAGAGAGCGGTTGAGGGGGATTGAGAGGGATTGAGAGGGGTTGTTAGTCTTGCCCTTTATAGTCAGGAGCTGTTTCGTCCCTGCTGGTTAAAGTAGAGTGTGTTGACAGCCCACCATGCGGGTACTGTAGATAGGAGTTGAGAGGGGTTGTGGGGGGTTGTGGAGTCTTAGAAAAGAGTGTTGCAATCAACCTCAAACAAAACGTACCACAGCAGACACCCCCTCAGGCGCGTGCATCTCTCAGTATTGAAACACTGAACACCCACCTGTGGCGGCCGGATCGGAAGCGTCCGCATTGAGAGAAGCGACAAACAACCGCACGATGTCCTTTTGTTTCTCGCTGAACTTGGCACCGTACCACAGCAGGTACACCCCCACAGGCGCGTGCACCCCAATCGAATAGGCACGTCCATCCCCCAACAATGAAACAGCCACGTGAGGTGAGGGTGTTTTTGAGACGTCTCAAAAACACCCTCACCTCACGTGCACCCCAATCGAATAGACACGTCCATCCCCCAACAATGAAACACTGAACAAACTCCAGGCGAACCACCCACCTGTGGCGTCTGGATTGGTTGTATCTGCAGTGAGGGAAGCAATAAAGAGGCGCACGATGTCTTTTTGTTTCTCGCTGAACTTGGCACCGTACCACAGCAGGTACACCCCCACAGGCGCGTGCATGACGCCGCAATGAGCGGGCGACGCGGCACAGAAGGCCATCTGATCGGGATCGAGGTCGTCCCAGTGGTAGTCGATTCCCTGAGGCGTGAATGGTAGGTTCGTGCTGCTGCTGCTAGACGATATCGCTGCTGCTTCTGCTGCTGCTGCTGCTGCTGCTGCTGCTGATTCTGTTGATGTTGAGTCTGATAATGATTCTGCTGATGCTGCCGCTGCAGATGCTGACGATGCTGCTCCAGCAGCTGGCTCATGACTGCAGCAGGTACCAGATAGACCAGGAGCAGACGGACAAGGAGGGCCGGGGCTTTAATTGGCTTAAGAAAATACTCGGTAAATACAGAAGGAGTGCAAAGAAAATATGAAGGAAGAAAAAACCCGCGTCTCATGGAGGAGTGTCGCCTGATAAATCTTGATTACAATAAATTACAAGTATCAGTACGGACACACGATGTCAAAGGCAGAGAACAGTATAGGGAAAATTACTGTATGCTACACTGCAGTATGCTACCTTGGATTATACACGCGCGCAATTCCCAAGGGACGGACGGTTGTGGGGGTCTCTGGAAGCCCCCTCCGGAGGCTCGAATCGGTGCTTCTGCTGGTGGAGGTTTCATCTGCCTGTAAAAGTCCGGCTCTTCTGGCGAAGGTGTATCTGATGGAGGGGTTGCGCTGGTAAGGCGCGGAGGAGCGAGGCAAGCGGAGGTGTGGGGGGTGAGGGGTGGTGGGCGGAAGGGTGGCGGAAGAGGGGGAGGGGAAACGGGAAGATGAGAGGCGAGAGATTACGTATAGAGGGTTCACCAATGGCTATTGCTAACTAAAGAATAGGAGAAGCTAGACGGGCATGGGGAATCTACGGGTCGAGGCGCCTCGCAATGGAAAGGCCGCGAACGGTGGGCTACGCTGAGATCCCTACCGTAACCGGCGCTCGCGGTGATGATTCGGCGACGGAAATGGCGGAAAGCTGAAGGAACGGCCGGGAACGGCGGGTAAAGCTGATTTAGCGACCGTAGTGCGCTCGATGGGAAGGCCCCTACCGTAAAGGCGGGCGCTCGCGATGGTGATTCGGCGACGTTAATGGCGGTAAGCTGAAGGAACGCGATTAGGAACCCCAGAAACAGCGGAAGCGCGCCTCTGAGGTTGCCGTTGAGGCTCGTACGGAAACGCCGTATGCGGCGACCACGGGGCGGCATTTTCCTGTTGCTACAAACCGAAACCTTCGTCGCGCTTTGCCTTGTGCTCTGTTCCTGGTTTAGCAGAAGCTATCTTAGACGGGCCCACACGTCGCAGCGTCAATGCCTGCACCTGAGCCGTCGAAATTCTTACCGAACTGGCAACCAGACATGAGGCGAGAACAGCGAATATTGTGCTAAGATTTTGGCAGTGGTCATGTAGGGTCGTATCGTCAGGCGAATTGCAGTGGCCGCCACAACCACGAGAAGTCATCAGGCGATTGCACAGGCGGTTTTCCAGGTGTTGTTGCCTTCCCTCGAAATTGGTTACGTTATGACCACACTTTTGTTGGCCAAACTTTATTTCCCTGCCACGCACAAGTGCGAGTATGACAGATGATTATTTTTTACAGTCACGATAAAAACTTTCAGTTCAGGGTTCCTGGCAAAACTGCCCGAACGTTTTGCAACTCACATTATTTCAATTTCGAGGGTGTTTCCCGTTCAACGCCCCACCGACAAATGGCATGGATACGCGGCTCGGAAAAAGTTTGTCCTTCCCACCAACTTCGGATAATAATGATAATGATGTACAATGATAATAATTACAGGTAAGAACGGATATAGTCAGAAACACATTCTAGTTTCTAGGTGGTGGTGGTGGTGGTGGTGATGATGCTTGCTGTCTCTGTTTATTGGAGCCAAAAAAAGAGCTTCCAGAGAAGTTGCAAGAGTTCAGCAAGAGTTGAACCAGGTGGCGGCGACGGTGGCGGTGGCGGGGGTGACGGGTAGCCTGATGTTGGCGGTGATTTTTTCGACGGTGGTGATGCGGAGCTAGACCCTGTGTAAGGCACGGTGGTTGCACATCTGCCTTTGCTCAAGTCCCAGTTTTGTTGAATCAAGAACTTATAACCGTCGACACCTACTAGGTTGTACGGAGCGTTCGAAGAGTCACGCATTACGGTGCCAAACCTAATGGTGGGTGTGTGAAATGTCGGCATACAAAGTTGGGGGGAAAGGTCGGAGGTGGGCAGGTTTTGGGAAGGGCATGTGCATGAAAGGAGAATGAAAAACGAGAGAAAAATAAGAAGAAAAGCAGGCACGGGAAAATCAGAAGCTGGACAAAAGAACTTGGGAGCCGGTTCGGGGTGGGGGGAAAAGCGGAAAACGAGTAAGAACCTGGAAGCCTGATTCAGCATGACTCACTTCCATCCGCATTTATCTGCGTTCTCGTCCCCTTTGTCATCCATCCACGTCTGCAGATATGGGCTGCTAGTCGCCTCTGCCACCTCGTGTGCATACACGGACAGCAGCCCATCCATTCCCTTGTCCCGGTTGGGCGAGGCGGATGAGGAGGAGATGAGGCCAGCGATGCAGCTCCTAGGGCACTGCGAGTGGGGGGAGGGAGGGGGGATGGGGGGTGACAGTGGGGAACTAGGTGTGTGCATACACGGACAGCAGCCCATCCATTCCCTTGTCCCGGTTGGGTGAAGAGGAGGAGGATGAGATGAGGCCCGAAATGCAGCTCCTAGGGCACTTTGTATGGGGGAGGGTGAGAGGGGGGAACCGGGTGCGTGTCTTTCCATACACGGACATGCCCTTGTCCCGGTTGGGCGAGGAGAACGAGGATGAGATGAGGCCCGTGATGCAGCTCCTAAGGCACTGTGCATGGGGAGGGGCGAGGGGTGGGATTTGGCAGAGGGAATCAAGGTGTGTGTGTGCACACACGGACATGCCCTTGTCCCGGTTGGGCGAGGAGGATGAGGATGAGATGTGACGCAAGACGCAGCTCCTAGGGCACTGCGTGGGAGAACGGTGGCAGGGCACAATTGGAGAAGGGGAGAAGGGGGACGGGACGGGAGGGGTGGGGTGCGGGTACAAGAATAGGCTGACGTGCTCTTGCTGGGCCAGGATAGGTGGTGCTTGCAACATGGCATGGCCCCTCCCAGAGATGACAGAGATGACAGAGAGCAAACGCCCTCACCTGGGTCTTGGCGTTGCCCACCCAGCCGCTGACCACGCGGCCCTTGCCATGCGGCCAGAGAGGCAGCATTTGGCCTCACCTGGGTCTTGGCGTTGCCCACCCAGCCGCTGACCACGCGGCCCTTGCCCGGGACGTCAGTGTAGGTGTGCCAGCCGCAGTAGTGCGTGCAGAAGGCGGAGCCTTGAGAGGACTGGAATACGGGGGCGGGGAGAGAAGGGGGAGGGAGAGGCGGAGGGGAGACTTGAGTTGAATCAAGCGCTAGGCCCTTTTCCCAGCCCCTCTGGGTCTGGAAGCATATATTCTTGCTTGAAAGCATAGATAGCCGTTGGGTCTGCATGCCTCATTCAGGGTTCAGGGTGTCATCACAGGGTGTCATCTCAGGGTGTCATCTCACCTGGCCGACCGTTTCATCTGAGAGTACGAAGTACACGCCGTTTGGATCGTACGGCAGCTTTTGGCTGCTTATGGCAGATGAGACGAGCGAGTCGATCTCGCTGTCGGAAAGGCCCAAGCCGCGGGAATAGGCTGTGTCGGACGTTTCATCTGCAATTGTAACGGAGCTCGAGATGAAACGCCCGTTACGGTCGTAATACAGCTGGTGATGTTCCACCATAGGGGAACTGTGTGGGGTAATGGAGAGAGGAGGGGGTTGGGGGGGTGGGGGTGGAGGAGTGGCGGGGCAGGCAAAGGGGAAGGGAGGGGGGGCAGGCAAAGGGGAAGGAGGGGGGGGGGGGGGGCAGGCAAAGGGGAAAGGAGGGGAAAGAAGGCGGTTTGGGCGGGGAAGGCGTCGGTTTCGAGAATTCTCAAAAGAAACTCGCAGGCGAGGAGGCGTCGGTAGACGCGCGGACGCGCTTGATGTTCCGCCATGGGGGGTCGTTGCGGAGGCGAGGGGATGGGGGGGAACGGGGGAGAGAAGCGCGGAAGAACCGAGGCAGACAACAGGGGGCCAGGGGCAAGGGGGATTGGGGAACGGGAGTGGGGGAACGGGGGTGGGGGAACGGGGGTGGCGGAAGCGGTTGGTTGGAAGGGGAAGACGCAGGATACGAATGCGAAACGCAAATGTCAGTTGAAACTTGCAACAATTCCAGAAAGCCGCGTACCCGTTATAGAGGTATCCGCGTTGGGGCTGAGCGACTGCGTGAAGGCTCGCACGAGCTCTTTCTGCGTCGCCGAGAACTTGCCGTACCAGATAATATACACATTAATCGGCGCGTACATCACCCCGCAGTACGGGCTACTCCGGCACTGTAGGCTGTTCCACCCCGGACTCATCCCTATCGGGCCCGCGAACGGCTTTATGTTCGAATTTCCGGCAGCGCCGGCCGCGCTGTTTCGGCTGGTACTATCGCTGCTCACGCTTCCGCTGATCTCGCTACCGATGGTGCGGTTCGAAGTGGAGGGTTGCGGCGTTGTTGTGTAATAGCTCCTGGGTAACGAAACGCCGCGTCGCACGTTCTGACCCGTGGGAGCCGCCATTGTGGGATAGAACCGCATGGGGCGGCGGGAAGGCGCTTCCCCGGCAGCCAAAAGCTGCGCCATTCCCCGTCTGCTTCCGCTGATCCTTCCGCCATAATTGCCTCTGCCTGCTCCGCCCGCTGTCTGCACGCAAGACGACGCTACCAGCAGCAGCGTCGAGATTACGAACCAATGCTGTGGCGTCGCGTCTTTTCGTGATGCGACGTCATTGAGGACGGCTGCCGCGTCAGTCTAAAACTAGCCTGGCGCGGCGGGATGCGGTTATAGGGCAGCAAAGGTGGGCAGACAAGCGACTGTCTCAAATTCGTCCTCCGCAGTAAAAATCAGGTTGCGGGGAAAGTTTTCTCAGTCCTGAAGCGCGCAATGGCAGCGCACTGAAAAAAGGCGAAAGTGCGGAAATACGGGGAGGGGAAGGCGAAATTGCGCGAGGGGGTCGGGGGGGAAGGGGGAATGTGGGGGGCTGAATGCTTGTTGGGGTGGTGGGATCGAGGGGAGAGGTGAGGCCACTGGCCAACCAGGTCTGTGGTAATTTCGGCGGGCCCAACACAAACCGCCTGAAAATACTGGGAAGCGGACCGAACTCTTGTAAGGACCATTCGTGTCAATCCCCCCACTCAATCCCCCCGCTTTTCTTGTCTTGTTTAGCAATTCTCTTGCTCATATTCCACTGTACGAAAGGGGCAGCACGAATATTGCCCGAGTTGCTCGAGTGAGGCATTGTACTGGAAATCGTTGCGAACAAACTTAGGTGTACGAGCAGGTTCTCAGGGTTTGGCAGGAATTTGAAGAGGCTGATAGGGTTGTAAAGGAGTATGAGCATCTGGGAAATTGAGCGAGTATTGAAAGCGGTTGACTGAATTGCACATCGAGCCGCGCGACTGCAGTTTGATTTGCAGCTTGCGAGCGGTCCATGTCCGGACCCGACTCAAGGTCAACAATACACTGTTATTCCAATATAGGCGCTGTTCCAATATAGGCAGATCCAAGCTATACGTGTTGGACAGATGTAATGATCAATTTCGAAAGGGTAAGCTTAGATTTTTCTGGCATTCAGTCAGTTGCATCATTACAGCGTTTTGATTATTTGCTGCGAGTTGTCTACCAGCTGCATAACATGTACCCGAACAAAAATTAGGGTTTAAAGCTGAAAATGATTCTCTAACGCACTTACTATGTACACGTGTACCCGCCTTACACCGGACGAAATGCGTGTACATATATGCCACGGAAATATGGAGACCTCATAACCATGCACCATATCGAGAACTCTCCCTACTCTCATTTTATTCCCGATTATTAAGGGCTGCTTCGTTTGGAGACATGAAGGACCTGGGCCTTCAAGATGACTGGTGGTGGTGAAGCAGCAGTTGCTGCTGCGGGTTTCATGAGGGCTGTGAGTCAGGAGCCTCCTTGAGTATGCGCCAAGGACCACTGGCAGTGCACACCCTGTAAAGAGTGTGACAAAAAAGGGCGGATGCAAACTAAAGGTAAAAAAGCAAACAAAAAACAAACAAACAAACAACAGCATCAACAACAAGAGTGTAAAAGATACATCACGAAAGATGCACGCACCTTGCTAAGCCGATGAGCATGCGAGCAGTCATTATGAGTGTGAGGCCGACCCACACGCCATGGATGCCCATGACCTTTGGTGCATAGGCCAGCACACCGGCTATGGGCGGCATCACTGTTATCTGGCAATTGGGGGAGAGATAACAGAGGGAAACAGCAGGGCAAGAAGACATAAGAGGAGGTGAAGAACATGGAAAATGGCAAGGAGGGTGGGAGCAGAAGTAAAACCAACAAGGTCAGTCGGGGAGCTCACCTTTGCAGAGGCGGCGTAGGCGAAGTCAGATGCACCGTAGTGCAAGCAACCCGCCAAAGACACGCTTTGACGTGGCTCATTAAGGAAGGGAGGGAGCAAGAGAAGACTCACCATTGCTGTGGCGGCGTAGGCAAAGTCGGATGCGCCGTAGTGTAGCCCGTCAAAGACAAAGGCGAGCGACGTGATGGGCTGTGTGGCTGCCACGAACTGGGGGAGTGGGGCGGATGGGGAGTAAGGCGGATGGGGAGTGGGGCGGATGGGGAGTGGGGCGGATGGGGAGTGGGGCGGATGGGGAGTGAGAGACGCTATAGTGCGTTTTAAGAATGGCATAAGAGCGATGGGATGGGCTGTGTGGCTGCCACGAACTGGGGGAGTGGGGCGGATGCGAGGTATGGATTTAGAAGAGTGGAAGTAGAGGAGGGGCATAGCTGACATCACAAGGAAGGCTGGAGTGATGTGGGGCGTGGCAAGGCAGGATGAACATCCGAGTCGTTGAAATGCACAGAGCGCAGGCAAGAGCCCAGATGCCTCAAGCACGCACCGGCACGAGGGAAGTTAGAGCCTTTTGAACCGTGTGGTCCGAAGGGAATGCGCGGGGGATGATGTAGGGCGTGGCGAGGGTGAGCAGGGCGGCTACACTGTGTTGTGATTGCTCCCAGAAGAAAAAGATGGGTGACAAGGAACGTACCGGCATGAGAGAAGTGAGTGCCTTCTGAACCGTGTAATCAGACGTGAATGCGCGGGGGATGTAGGGCGTGGCGAGGGTGAGCAGGGCGGCGGTGGTGAGGCCCATGAGCAGCGCCATCTGTGTGGCGCGCATGGCGATCCTCCTCACCCTCCGCGCATCGTGGCGCGCAAAGGCCGATGCCAGCATGGTCTGGTGCGTAAGGGAGCCACAGAGGGACAGGATTGACGGGGGGAGAAACAGAGGTAACGACAGAGAAGGTTGAAGGGGGCAAGGGAGGCAAGAAAACAGTGGGTTGAACGTGGGGGGGGGCAAGGGAGGCAAGGAGAGAGGGAGAGGGTGAGCAGGGCTGCGGCGGCGAGGCCCATGAGCATATCTACCGGACATGAGGGAAAGAGCGAGCCATATCCTATCCAATAGCCTTACTCACGCTCAACACCCTATCACTCACACATGGCCTCACCTGGGCGCCAAGAGCCACGGACGGAGTCAGACATGAGACACACAGCGAGCCAGATCTGCATGGCGATCTGGTGTGCCGCCATGCTCGTGTGGCCTGGCCCTGCCTCCCCTATCCATGCTCCCCCCATCTCCTCGCCTTCTCCCTTGTTTTGTCCCTCTCTCTCTTCCTCACCTGGGCGCCAAGAGCCACGGAGTCAGACATGAGAGACACAGCGAGCCAGATCTGCATGGCGATCTGATGCGCTGCCATGCTCGTGTGGCCCTGCCGCGCTGCCATGGAAGTGGCGAGGGTCATGGTGCAGAGCAGGGCGAGCGTGCGACCGAGGAGGAGACCACCTGGTGGTTTCAGGACGGTGCAAAATGAGGGGGAAGACTAGGGAACAGTGAGGAGGATCAAAGGATAAGAATCCGGTTGCTGCCATGCTTGTGTGGCCCTGCCGCGCTGCCATGGAGGTGGCGAGCGTCATGGTGCAGAGCAGAGCGAGCGTCATGGTGCAGAGCAGAGCGAGCGTGCGACCCAGCAGGAGGCCACCTGCACACAGGAGTCAGGAACGGTGGAGACGGGTGAAGCGAGGTGGTTATTTGGAGGTGGCGAGGGTCATGGTGCAGAGCAGAGCGAGCGTGCGACCGAGGAGGAGACCACCTGGTGGTTTCAGGACGGTGCAAAATGAGGGGGAAGACTAGGGAACAGTGAGGAGGATCAAAGGATAAGAATCCGGTTGCTGCCATGCTTGTTTGGCCCTGCCGCGCTGTCATGGAGGTTGCGAGGGTCATGGTGCAGAGCAGGGCGAGCGTGCGACCCAGCAGGAGGCCACCTGGAGAACGGAGGAGTCAGGAACGGTAGAGAGGGGTGAAGTGAGGAGTTGCCATGGAGGTGGCGAGGGTCATGGCGCAGAGCAGAGCAGGGCGAGCAGTGAAGGCAAAAGGGGGAGAGGGGAGGCAGGCCGTTCTATAGCGGCCTTTCTATAGGGGACGGGTGTAACGCTGTACTGAACTGTCACTGTGGTTGCAGGCCTTTCTATAGCGGCTCTCAGATCAAATACAGATGACATCAGATCAGAACAAAGGAAGTCAACACCCACCCACCTGACTTGAGGAAACGGTCGAGCTTGAGGTGGGAGAGGCGGGGCGGCATGAGCACCACGCGCTGGCTCAGCTGCCACAGCATGAAAGCCGCAATGCTGTACTGCGCTGTCACTGTCGCTGTAGAGCTCAGGCTTTAAGAGAGCACTGTAAGGCAACAAGGCCCGAAATGGGATCTCTCACCTGACTTGAGGAAACGGTCGAGCTTGAGGTGGGAGAGGCGCGGAGGCATGAGCACCACGCGTTGACTCAGCTGCCACAGCATGAAGGCCGCAATGCTGTACTGCGCTGTCACTGTCGCTGTAGAGCTCAGGCTTTAAGAGAGCACTGTAAGGCAACAAGGCCCGAAATGGGATCTCTCACCTGACTTGAGGAAACGGTCGAGCTTGAGGTGGGAGAGGCGGGGAGGCATGAGCACAACCCGTTGACTCAGCTGCCACAGCATGAAGGCCGCAATGCTGTACTGCGCTGTCACTGTCGCGAACGCTGCCCCACTGACGCCCATCCCGCATGCGAACATGAGGAGCGGGTCTAAGGCGATGTTGACGATGTTGCCTCCCACTGATGGGGGAAAGAAGTGACAAAAGAGCAGGAAGAGGGGGGCAAGTAAGCGAGGGTGATACTCTGAGCACCAGCAAGTGAAGGCTGCTGCTCCACTGACGCCCAGCCCGCATGCGAACATGAGGACGGGTCTAAGGCGATGTTGACCACGTTGCCTCCCACTCGTGGGGGGGAGGTGGGGGAGAGAGCAGGGGAGGGTGACACTTTGAGGCGCCAGAAGGCGAACGCTGCTCCACTGACACCCAGCCCACATGCAAACACGAGGAGCGGGTCTAGGGGGATGTTGACCACGTTGACCACGTTGCTGCACTGACGCCCAGCCCGCATGCGAACATGAGGAGCGGGTCTAAGGCGATGTTGAACACGTTGACCACGTTGACCACGTTGCCTCGTACTGGCGGGAGAAAGAAGCAACACAAGAGAAGGGAGAGGAGGTAGAGGGGAGGGAAAGGAACGGAGGAAGTGGAGAACATTCGACAACAGATATACACGGGGCTAGAAATATCGAAGAAGAAAGAGGGTCGTACCTTGAGCGATGAGCGGAGTGCGAGTGTCCTTAAAGCCCCGGAACACCCCTTGAGTGGCCAGGGCCAACACCACGGCTTACCTTGTGTCACACACAGCTTACCTTGAGCAATGAGCGGAGTGCGAGTGTCCTTAAAGCCCCGGAACACCCCTTGAGTAGCCAAAGCCAGCACAACAGCAGGCGCGCCCAGCGCCCTGAGGGAGAGGTAGTGCAGCGCTGGCCCGCGCATGGGCGAGGTCTGTGGTACACAGGCGAGCCGAGGAAGGAATGAACAAGGGAGGAACAGGGAAATGAGGGGAGGAGTAGAAGTCACATAGCTGGAGCACCCAGAGCCCTGAGGGAGAGGTAGTGCAGCGCTGGCCCGCGCATGGGCGAGGTCTGTGGTACACAGGCGAGCCGAGGAAGGAATGAACAAGGGAGGAACAGGGAAATGAGGGGAGGAGTAGAAGTCACATAGCTGGAGCACCCAGAGCCCTGAGGGAGAGGTAGTGCAGCGCTGGCCCGCGCATGGGCGAGGTCTGTGGTACACAGGCGAGCCGAGGAAGGAATGAACAAGGGAGGAACAGGGAAATGAGGGGAGGAGTAGAAGTCACATAGCTGGAGCACCCAGAGCCCTGAGGGAGAGGTAGTGCAGCGCTGGCCCGCGCATGGGCGAGGTCTGTGGTACACAGGCGAGCCGAGGAAGGAATGAACAAGGGAGGAACAGGGAAATGAGGGGAGGAGTAGAAGTCACATAGCTGGAGCACCCAGAGCCCTGAGGGAGAGGTAGTGCAGCGCTGGCCCGCGCATGGGCGAGGTCTGTGGTACACAGGCGAGCCGAGGAAGGAATGAACAAGGGAGGAACAGGGAAATGAGGGGAGGAGTAGAAGTCACATAGCTGGAGCACCCAGAGCCCTGAGGGAGAGGTAGTGCAGCGCTGGCCCGCGCATGGGCGAGGTCTGATGCACACAGCCCAGCCGACGAAGGAATGGGTTGGGTGGGAGCGGGAAGGGAGGCAGACGAGGGACTGGGAGCAGAAACGTAGGGCACGGAAAGCAGACACGCAGCAGGCAAGCCAGCCAGCCCAGCGTTCTGGAAGGCAGGTAGTGCAGTACAGAGCTGGCACGGGTATAAGCAAGGTCTGATGTGAGTCGACTCAAAACGCAGCAGGCCAGCCAGACCAGCGTTCTGGTAGTGCAGGGCTGACATGGGCATAAGCAAGGTCTGATTCACACAGCCGAGAAAGGAATGCTTAGGGTGGCGGGATGGGACCAGGAAATAACGCACGCACCGCAGTGACCTCCCCTATAGCGCCGAGAATGGGCGCGGCAGCAGCGGCGAGCACCACCGCCTCGACAATCCCAAGAATGGCGCCCAGCAGCGGAGCCACTGACACCGCAGGTGTTCCCAAGGCTCGCAGCAGGTATGAACGATAAACATTTAAAACAGTATAAAACGAGGCAGCGCATGCACGCACCGCAGGGACGCCCATGGCGCCGAGAATGGGGGCAGCAGCAGCAGCGAGCACCACAGCCTCGACAATCCCAAGAATGGCGCCCACCAGCAGAGCTGCTGACACCGCAGGCACCACTCGCTTCTCACCCGCCGCTTCTGCTGCGGACGCTGATGCTGCTGCTGGTTGTGGGGAGCGAATACGGCAGTAGAAGGGGCAGGATATGAAAGGAAATTGGGACGACAACACAGAAACTAGCGAGCAACAAGGGCAGGAATGAAAGAAGGAATGGGAAGCGAAGATCTGCTTGTCGTTTAGAGGCGCATAATTCCAAGATGAGAACGCATGCGGATCAACAGATCAGTCCCAGTACCTGATTGTTTCGTGAATCAGCTCGAAAGTTACCTGCTTTTGCTCTTGCTTCGCCATCCTCAGCGACGAAGGACGTGGTGATGTTGAGAAGGGGGAAGTTGAAGACCTTCGAGACGAGGTTGAACACAGAGATGGACACGCCAATGGCCGCGAGACTCACGGCTCCTGCAGATACACGAAAGCAATGCACTTTAGAAATGGAATAAAACGAAAACAATAGTAATTATGACAATACTTTCAGAAAAAATTGAGTGGTAGTTTACCGGTTCGTGCAATGAATGCGGTCTCCGTGAGCTGCGCGACAGGCTCCGCCAATCCGGCGATGACAGCAGGGATGGCGAGCTTGATGAGCTCCCCGGCGACGCCCTTGGGCGAAATTCTTCTCAGCGACCGTCTGTTTGAAAAAAAAAAAAAGGAGGGAGGGGGGCGGGGGGGGGGGGGGGGGGAGGGAGGGGGGGTTTTGAGTCTGGTTTGAAATGTAAATGAACTGCTGCATATACTATACATAACTCAGTAACTTTTTACTAAGTGACTAAAACAGTGTCGTCAACTACGGTAGTCAGGACGAGGTTACTGATAGCCTACTATCAGAATAATTACTGATAGCAGTAAGGAAGGGTCACAGGCGACTCACCTAGTTTCCCTCCAGACCACCGAGAGCCCATCCTGCTGCCGTCCCCTAAAGTCTTCATGGGGATTAATCGCCGCTTGGGACCTTACTCTGCACGGAGCACTGGCAGCACCTTTTTTCGTCCCGTGCGCTTGCTCTAAATGCTCGCACAGACACGCCGAGCCATCGGTCGAACGCGTGAAGCGAACGTTCGTTTCTCCAGCAAAGAATGACGAATGGCGTAACTCGCACTGACGAGAGCGCGAGAGAGGGACTGGCGAAACAAAACCCTTGGATTCGCAGCGCGGCAGCTTCGAGATCGGAACAGAGGCACGCCGGGAGTTCGGTGGCAACAGGTGGCTGCTTCCTGCAGTGTTAGCAATGGTCCTCGTACGAGAGCTTTCTACCACCGTGGCCCCTGTGAGACAGCAGCTTCCTGAAATCACCTGATTGATCAGACTTGCCATGTGCGTGAAAGAGATAGGTGAATTTAAACAGCTTTGTTTCGAGTACGGCGCACAACGCAGAGTGACGCTACTATTCGACTAATCTCGAAGTAGGCAGGGAAAAGGAAATGGAGATTGGTTGGCGGACGATGGGCTAAGCTGAGCGTGACACACCAAAGGGGTTCTTGAGTCACGATAAATGGAAGCAACCTAGCACCACAGCTGCTAGTATAGTGGCTCTCCCGGAATACATCAGGTGGCTGGCTCCTCGATCGTTGATTGCTCTCGTGAAAGACGAATGCACTGAGCTTCAGGGGCTGTGATGTTTGGGTCAGGAAACCTTGGGAACAGATTTCGTCTTCCCTCATGGTCATCGGTAGGGAGAACAAAATTTTCATTTTGTCAGCTGGCTCTGCGAATGCATGCTGCGAATTGCGAAGGGACCTTGTTGACACGTTCTGAACATTCGCCGCGAGGTTCTCTCATTCGCCGCCGTGCCCACGTGGCTGAACGTCTGCCCTTTTTCCTGACCTTCGGGAGGACTTTTGCAGATCGTTTCGTTCACGGTCAGCAAACGCACTTTCTTGTCGACTTTCTGTAATTCGTTGCCGTCATGATGTGGACAAAACGCTGTCAGCGACATCCAATCAGCGAATCATCGCGAACACTCGCACGATCGCCTCGTGCAATCTGATCGTCCATCTCCCCTCCTCCCGCCGCCAAGGGCTCACATGTCAGCAGATTCTTGTGCCAAAGGCGAAGTGCGATCCGCTTCGATATAAGGCTTGTGGTGGACGCCTCCTCGCACCCGACTTGCCTGGTGCGTTAGAACACACATCGAGCAGCTGACCTGTAAATTGAGCCACTTCAGAAAACGTATCGTGTGATTCAGGGAAAACCTTCAGCTTGACAGTGACAAGGGGATTTGAGACATAGAGTATCTGCTTCAGGTAAGAGGCAATCCTTGGGTTATGCAATTTCTGAACTACATGACTAGCTAGTTACACATTAACATCTACTTTCTAGCAGGCCGTTTGCACTAAGTGCTTATTCTGGAGCATGCCCTTCTTCTGCATGCCTCCAACGACTCACACGACCTAGAAAGCATTTGTTTCCTACTTCACTAATGTCAAACTTGTACCACTATCTCACTGCTGATCCAGAAGGCGAAGAACCTGCGCAAACGAGAACATAGGACCATATTAGTAGAACCCATGCAACACTGTGGGCCTGAGAAATGGCATGGAACCGTGCAAACACAGAACCACTGCTTACTTGGCTCATGCTTGGTCGGAGGACAGCAGACTGCCTCACACACTGCGAGGCAGCCACAATGACACGATCCATCTCCTTCACTCCGAAGCAGCCATCCAGGTTCGGGTCAGCTAGCTCCTTGAGCGTGTTGGAGGCGAGGAGTGGCCGAGCCTGATAGGTCAGGGAGGAAAGAAAGGGCATGATTAGTACAGTCAGTCAGGGTATGCGTCACCCAATGTGTAAGTCGCCTTGTAATGTAAATAAAGCCACATCGCACAAGACACTCACCCACTCAACCAGGCTGTCCTTCTGGCCCCTCTGCTTGTCGCTGGGCTTCCTTCCAGTAATAAGCTCCAGCAAGACCACTCCAAACGAGTACACGTCCGACTTCTCTGTAAGCTTGCCTGTGAGCGCATGTTCCGGCGCCAGGTAGCTGGGAACCACACAGAACGGAAGGGGGTGAGTGGGGGTTGAAGGGAGATTGAGTGATCATGCTCGCGGGAGCGAACAACAACGTAGAACATTCTATTGTGAAAGCCATTTTCAAGACATGAAAGTTCCTATGCACAATGTCAATCAGTGAGTGTCTGTCTTTGCTCACCCATAAGAGCCGGCCGAGCTGACAATGGTCGTGAGGGCAGCATCTCCTGCCAGCTTGGCTGACCCGTAGTCACTCAGCTGATGCGGGGAGGAGCAGAGAAAGAACAAAAGCACAACAAAAAAGCACGAGTCAAGACAAAGTCTCAATCATGTGGACAGGAGAATCTGTTCCTTGGTGTAGCTTGAATTTGGATATCTGAATTTGAAACAACATAGGGGTGTATGCTCACCTTGACCTCGTGCTGTGCGTCCAGCAGAATGTTAGATGACTTGATGTCCTTGTGAATAACGGGGGGGGTGCCTGCCAAGGGTTGAAATGGGAGTTACAGTGAAACAAAGGGATGAGCATACGACGCTGTTATGGGCGGGGAGCAGCCGGAAAATAAATGAAACAGGTGATAGGGGGGATAGCGGAGATATCAAGGTCGCAGCCACTTACATCCTTCGTGGAGAAACGTGAGAGCCCTCGCAGCGCCCTTGGCGATCTTCATTCGGAAATTCCACGCCAAGATTGGCTTGTTACTCCCATGCAGCGCCGCGTCAAGCGAACTGTTCGCGACAAATTCCTGCACCAACATTCGCTGCGAACTGGCGAGGCAATAACCCAAATAAGTAACCAGGTTCTCGTGCTGAATCGCGAAAACCGTCTCCGCGTCGGATTTCCATGCCGCGTCGCTCAGCGAACCCTTCACTTTCAGCACCTTCACCGCAACCTCCTGCCCGTCTTCCAACACTCCCTTGTACGTCGTTCCGAAAGTTCCCGATCCGAGCTTGTTCGAAAGAGCGAAGCGTTCTGTAGCTTGGTCGAGCTCTTCAGCGGGGAACCACCACTGCTCGGACGGATCGATTTCGTCCTCCTCGTTTCCTGACTTAGCTGCCGCTGCTCCTGCGACCACCCCCGCGCCAGCTGCGCCAGTAGCAGGAACAGCAGCGGCTCTCGCGGCTGCTGGCGTCTTTGTTGCCGCCGCGGTGGCAGCTGCCGCTCCCACTACCGCACCTGCCGCTACTGCCGCCGCAGCACCCGCAACAACACCAGCAGCTGGCGCCGCCCCTCCTGCTGCCGAACCTGCGGCCGAAGCCGTTGCTGCACCTCCCGCTGCGGTCGCCAGCGGACTTGCGCCGCCTGCGCCTCCAGCGGAACCCGGCGGGGGAGTCAGGCTATTCCCGGCTTTAGCAGACGGCGGACTTGCGTTTGGGCGAGCACTCACTGCGCCACTAGCAGCCGCCGCGCCAGCAGGTGCCACGTCAGCAGATGCCACGTCAGCTGCTTTGTCAGCAGGGGCAGATCCCGCGGAAGCGGCTGCGACCGCTGCTCCTGTCGCCACTGCGCCTGCTCCTGCCACTGCCGCCGCTGCTGCTGCTGGCGGTATCCCTGTCACTCCGGACTCGCCGCCGTCTTGCACCTCCGCGCTTTCCGGATTGCCAGTGGCCTTACTCGTCTTGAACGGAGCTGCGTAGAACGGTACTTTGCCTGTTAAAGCAAGGGGTTGGGGCGGGGGCGTTGGGGAAGGGGGAATGTGAGTACATGCGTGTACTCGACATGAGTCAGAACGTACCAAGCAAAAGAACCCAAGCGGGAAAAAAACCACCAACTTAACACCATAATCAAACGCAGCAAGCACACAAAACAGACAGCATACTCACTTTTAGTAGCCCCTTTGCCCGCACCGCCCGCTTTCCCCTTCTTCTCGCCGTCGGCCTCCTCCTTCTTGCGCCTCAGCAGCAGGAACACGTACAGTCCCAGCACCACCAGCAGCACGAACCCCAGCGTCACACCAATTGCAATCCCCGCAACCGCACCCGCGGACACGCTGTTTCCGCCACTGTCCGCCGTCGCGGTCGTGTTCGCGGGGGGGGTCGTCGAGTAGGGGACCGCCGCAGCGTTCGCCGAGGTAGAAAGCTGCGGAAGCGGAGCGGAGGGCTGCGCGGGGCGCGGCGGGGGGACCGACGCCGGCGCGGTGATGGAACCGTTTTTCGGCACACCTGATGGGGCGCGCGTGGAACCGGGGGCAAGGACCGGAGCCTTGGCGGAGCCAGGGGCAGGCTTCGGAACTTTGGCAGGCGCGGAAGCAGGCGCAGAGGCGGAGCCAGGCGCAGAAGCGGAACCTGGAGCAGCGGCAGAACCTGGAGCAGCGGCGGAGCTTGGTGCAGCGGGGGTTACTTTGGGGCGTGGAACGCCAGGGGCGGCAAGACTGCCAGGAGCTACAGGCGGGGTCTTGGGCTTCGGAACGACAGGCGCGCCCGTAGAACCAGGCGCAAGCGGCGGAAGTTTAGGATTCGGAACGCCAGGCGCGGCCGTGGAACCAGGCGCAAGCGGCGGAAGTTTAGGATTCGGAACGCCAGGCGCGGCCGTGGAACCAGGCGCAACAGGCGGAACCTTGGGATTTGGGACGCCGGGGGGAATTTTAGCACCAGGGACCGTTGGGGGAACCTTGGGAGTGGGAGTCGAGCCCGGGGCTTTGGGTGTGGGGACGCTGGGGTTGACTGGGGGAGTTGTGGGCGTGGGGACGCCAGGAGTCTTAGGCGTGGGGACGGTAGGTGTTGTGGGCGTGGGGACGCCGGGAGCCTTAGGTGTGGGGACAGGAGTCGTGGGCGTGGGGACGGCAGGAGTCGTGGGCGTGGGGACGCCAGGAGTCTTAGGCGTCGGAACGGCAGGGGTGGTAGGCGTGGGGACAGTAGGAGTTTTAGGCGTGGGATCGGCGACAGGACCCTTAGGCGTGGGAACGCCAGGAGTCTTGGGTGTCGGCACAGGAGTCGTCGGCGCAGGCACAGGAGTCGTCGGCGCAGGCAAAGGAGTCGTCGGCGCCGGCACAGGAGTCGTCGGCGCCGGCACCGGAGTCGTCGGCGCCGGCACCGGAGTCGTCGGCGCGGGCACAGGAGTTGTCGGCGTGGGAGTGTTCGGCACAGCTGGAGTTTCCGGCGTCACGGGAGTGGGGGTGAACCCGCCCGGCCCGCTGGGGAAGATCCCGAACCCGCCGCCGCTGGCGACCGGGGGATTGTTGACGGGAGTGGGGGTGACAACGGGCGCGGGGGTGACGCCGGGGAATAGCGGCGGTTGCGTGCTCCCATCGTTCGGCTGCGGCTGCGGCTGCGGCTGCGGCTGTGGTTGTGTTACAGGCTGCGGCTGCGTGACAGCTGGCTGCGTCGTCACTGCCGGCTCAGTCGGTGCCGGCTGGGTCGGTGCCGGCTGGGACGGTGCCGGCTGGGTCGGTGCCGGCTGGGTCGGTGCCGGCTGAGCCGGTGCCGGCTGGGTCGGTGCCGGCTGGGTCGGTGCCGGCTGAGCCGGTGCCGGCTGGGTCGGTGCCGGCTGAGCCGGTGCCGGCTGTGGCTGCTGCTGCTGCTTTTGCCTTTGCTCGCGCGCCGAGGCTTCAATAGCCTGATCCAGCGTCATTTGCGCTACCGCGATTCCCGACGATGCGCCATTACTTCCTGAAAGGGACTCGGTCGCGAGCTTTCTGCCTTCATCTCTCGAACCGCGGATGGGGACCTCAGGGAAGAGAAGCGAGCGCGGCTCGGGGTGGACTGCAGCAGTGCGACGAAGGTTCCGCCTAAGCTTCATGGCTCGAATAAACTAGTGGCAATAAAACATCAACCTTTGACTGGAGAAACTCGTGAAACGGAAAACCGTCCTCTAATAAATCTAAGCCACTAGAGCTCAGGAGAGCATGTGGAGGGCAACCAAATGACTCAGAGTTGGAAAGGTGTCACATGAACACTACGAGGAGAATAGGGTGCTATTAAAGGGCTCTAGACCTGCCACTGGTGGAAATAGTGGATATTAAGTGTCTCGACATCGAGCTTTTGTGAGTGTACGCTGTTGGTCGATGACGGAAAGACTTTACGACGATGGCTAAGCTAGCGCCCGCATTGCTGAGGTCGACTGACAGGATTCCTTGCATCTGAGGAATCGTACGCCTTGGGTTGCCACGCAAGCACAATGATGCCGCACTCATCTCACGCCTCGAGAAGCGACCGGGGGCAATCTCCACAGTCGCTCAACACGTACACCGCTCGAATGCCATGCGGTATGGTACAACTCGCGACGTGGGTGAGAGGGAGTTTTCAGGTTGCTACTGAGTGCAGTGAGAGCGTGTTTCACGCAGGCGTGGGTGGGCGCACGCACGAGTGCACATCAGGGGGAGAGTGAAGCAGGCGGAATTGGACAGGCAATGGCGGTGGTGGGGTGAGTTTTGATCTGCAAATTTCAACCATGATAGGCCCATCCACGGAATTCATTTGAATTGATCCCGCGTCGCGCATTTCAGATCGTTGTTTCGTGAAATCTGCTGACATTGCTTTGCCTGGTTCTTGTGCGTGCGTGATGGTTGTGAAGGGACTTCGCGGCGCGATGCTGTGTGGGGGGATGAAGTGGTGCTTGACTGACCACGACCAGCAAAGCTGTCAAGGGGAGCTTAAGAAAAGCTGACGTGGTTTACGTTTAGTGGCCGATCATCCACCTGGTTCGGAGATGCCTGGGTGTGAAGCCTCTACAATGCGGACGTGCTTACGAAGCTGACAGTGCAGCACGTTGTCGTGGACGAGGCGCGGATCATGTTGTGTGGGGGGGTATTCTCGGTAAGAGTCGAACCCGTGAAGTACAGAGTCTGTGTCACCAAGTGTACGACATAGAGTCTGTGTCTGTGTCTGTGTCAGTGTCCAGAGTCTGTGTTGTTGTGTCTGAGATAGATGTTGCATCACGAAGTTGCACATTATTCAGCTTGTGAACGAAGTTGCATGTATTTACGAGCAGAGGTCATGCAGCAAATCTTCGATCAACAGAAGCCAAGAGCCGATAGGGTTTATAAAGTATTGATCGAGACGATCAAATGCTCCATGCATCTAACACATTTCCTTCATGAGCAGCGATCAACGGCTCAGATGTGCTAGCCACCATCAGTGAACCGCAAAAAGGGCATTCACTGGCAATCGCTTCATCTAGCTGCAGCCGCACCTGCCATTACACGAGAAGAAGTCACTCACAGCAACATGGAGAAGTGTATGCATAACAGTAAGTTTATCGTAAACGAGAATAGATCCTTTCAGACAGATAGCAATGCGACCCACATCCAAATTTGCTAGTGTGAAGGTTTACCTTATCAATCGGCGATAGTCCCGCATGAATGTCCACCACGTCACTGTCTCCCTCTACTCCTGCTCCTCCTATTCCTGCTCCTGCGCCTCGTTGCTTGCCACCCCTCCTCGGGGTCTCCAGCACTCCCAGCAGTTGCCGCTTTAACTCCAACACATGCTCCATCTGCGGTCCGGCAGATGCGGAAGGAGAATCACAAAGAAATTGGAAAAGGAGGGTGCTAGAAGTGGCAATGCAGAATGCTGTGGTACAAGTCCCCCCCACCCACCCTCCTCCTCCCCTTCCCCCACAAAAAAAATAACAAGAAAAAAGAAAAGAAAAATAAGGTGCTTAGGCACCTCACCAGGAAAGCACCTCACCAGGAAAGCACCTCACCAGGAAAGCACCTCACCAGGAAAGCACCTCACCAGGAAAGCACCTCACCAGGAAAGCACCTCACCAGGAAAGCACCTCACCAGGAATGGATCAGAGTGTTGAACCACGTGGGTGAGCAGGCAGTCAATGTGGAAGGCGTGGGAGCAGGGGAACACGTAGAAGGGGCACTGTACCCAAATATTGTTAGGCAAAGTCAGCTCAGATGATACTTCACTTAGAAAGTACCTCCCCAGAAAGCACCTTCGCTGAATAGCGCCTCACCAGGAATGGGTCGGAGTGTTGAACCACGTGGGTGAGCAGGCAGTCAATGTGGAAGGCGTGGGAGCAGGGGAACACATAGAAGGGCGTTGCCTCTGCTGCCACTGCTGATGCTCCTGCTGCTGATGCTGATGGTGTTGCTAGGCTTGCTGCTGCTACTGCTGCTGCTGCACCCGAAAGACCACCACCACCAACGCCCCCACCAGCCCCAGCAGCAGCACCGCCGGCTGAAGCAGACCCAGACAGCAGCGTTTTCTGGGGCGGCGGGGCGGCGAGAATCAGACGAGAGCAGACGCCGCAGGTCTCCCGTGTGGACACGATGACGTGGCGCTGACTCAGCGCCTGGATGTCCCTCCGGATCGTGTCCGCCGCCCGGGTCGCCTCGGTCATTTCGGCTTTTAGCCGGTCAATCTCTTGTCCGTATGACTCTAACGACTCGCACACTGCGTCTTTGAAATCGTCGATCAGGGTGAAATCCGGAAAGAAAGGGAGAATATCTTCGACTTTAAGCAGACCCTCGGTTTCTTTCAGAAGAGAAATTGCTCTACGGACGTTCTGCCTCATTGCACTCTCCTCCTCATTCTCCCTCCCCTTCTCCTTCTCTTCCACCTCTTCCCTCTTACTCCTCCCGGTATCATCTCCACCAATCACGGGTCTGCCTGCTAGCCCCTGCTCGATGACGTGGCGCGCAATCATTAGCCAGAGCGACCGCTTGAGATCCTGTTCTCGCGCCTTATTGGCCTCTCGTTTTGCCAGTGCCACGTCAATCTGCAGGGCCAGGGCTACGGCCTCTTGATGCATTCCCAAGGTACTGTACACGCAGACACACCCCCGCATCCTCCTTCGCTCTAAACACACCCTCAAAGCGAACTTAGGGTCGTAAACTACTCCTCCCCTTGCTGCCCCTGCTGCTGCTGCTCCTCCCGCTCCCCTTCCTCCTGCTTCCCCGCCACTGCTGCCACTACTGCCACCAGCATTGGCTAGGCTTGGAGAGAGGTTGAGTGCGGTGCCGGTGGGTGTGAGGGCAGGGGAGCGGCCTGGTGCCCCCACTGCTGCGGCTGCGGCAGAGGGAGAGGAGGAGGAGGAGAAGGAGGAGGAGGAGGGAATGGTAGGGAAGGAGGGGGTGGAGGAGAGGAGGAGGGTGTGTGGAGGTGGAGGAGGAGGGATCCATGAGAGAAAGTTGACCAGGGATGTTTCATTCGCCTGCATAGACATGGGATCAGGGGCACAGAAATAAAGAGAGGTGAAATAAACAATGAGAAGAGGTGAGTGGAGGCTTCATGGAGGTGGCGGTGGGGGGATGTGAGAGATGAGAGGTGGAAATGGAGGGGAGGGGGAGAATCGAGAGAGGAAGTTGACAAGAAATGACTCATCGGTTTGATCAGACAAGGAAGAAATCATGAATGAAACCTGGTCATAAATAGGGTGTACTGTACAGAAATAGAGTAAGATCAACAAACCTGGTCATAAATAGGGTGTACTGTACAGAAATAGAGTAAGATCAACAGACCTGGTCGGCATAAAGCAAGAGCAAATCGTATATGCCCCATTTGATTTGATTTATGCTTTTCACCCTTTTGCCTTGGTTAGCACTTTCTGAGTCGGAAGAACAGACCTGGTCGGCATAGAGAGAGAGCAGCAGGTTGTGGATGGCAGGATCTCTCTTTTGAGGCGCCTAAAAAATAGACTCAAACATTGAGTCGTCAAACATTGAGTCGTCAAACATTGAGTCGTCAAACATTGAGGCGTAAAAAAGCAACGGACCTGGTCGGCATAGAGAGAGAGCAGCAGGTTGTGGATGGCAGGATCTCTGGATCCGAGCCTGTGCACACAAAACTCCAAAAAGCGGACGGCCTCGTTTGGCTGGTTGCTGGTAGTGGTAACAGTGGCGGCTGTAGCAGCACCACTAGCAGCTGTAGCACAGCGCATGATTGCTGGGATGAGCCGACGAGGATCAAACCCAGAAGCAGCAGATGCAGCGGCAGCAGCACCGGCAGAAGCAGAAGAAGACGAAGCAGGAGCAGAAGCAGCAGAGGTAGACATGATCCAGAGGTCAACGGTGTTGGATGGAGCCAGGAGCACGAGAGCCGGTGAGAACTTGTACTGGCAAGGAAGGGGAAGGGGGACGGGTAAACAGGGAGGGGTGACAGAAGGGGAAGGACATGAGCAGCAGCAGAGGCAGGCATGATCCAGAGGTCGACTGTGTTGGTTGGAGGGAGCAAGGAGCACGAGAGCCGGTGAGAACTTTTACTGTTGACCATGGGGTGGGAGGCATGAAGGGAAAAAAGGGGAGAGATGAGAAAAGGGGGGGGTGGGTAGAAGCAGCAGGGGCAGGCATGATCCAGAGGTCAACGGTGTTGGATGGAGCAAGGAGCACGAGAGCCGGTGAGAACTTGTACTGGGGAAGGACAGGGGGGGGGGATAGGGGAGAACGGGGGCAGGGAGGAATATGAGAAGCGGTAGACACCGCAGCAGAGGCAGAAGAAACACAAGCAGCAGCAGCAGGGGCAGGCATGATCCAGAGGTCAACGGGGTTGGAGGGAGCAAGGAGCACGAGAGCCGGTGAGAACTTGTACTGGAGAAGGACGGGGGGGGGGGATAGGGGAGAACGGGGGCAGGGAGGAATATGAGAAGCGGTAGACACCGCAGCAGAGGCAGAAGAAACACAAGCAGCAGCAGCAGAGGCAGGCATGATCCAGAGGTCAACGGTGTTGGAGGGAGCAAGGAGCACGAGAGCGGGTGAGAACTTGTGCTGGCGAAGGACAGGTGGGGGGATGGGCAAGAGGGGAGCGGGGGGGGAACAGAAGGGGAAAGACATGAGAAGCAGCAGAGCAAACTTGCACTGGCGGGCGGAGGCAGAGCAACAGCAGATAGGGCGGCAGAAGAGAGAATGTGACAGTAGAGGGAGTCTGGAGAAGGGTCACTGTACTGTTAAAGAGTGTGACAATAGCGAGGGTGAGTGAGGGCGACTTACCAGAAGCTCCAGAGGCACTGAGGGCCGGCGCAGCACGGCGATTGCTGAGTCAGCATCGCCTTGCTGAGGTGGCAACACCGGATTGGATGCATGTGTTTGCAGAGACATGGGACGACACAAAAGGGGGGAGAAGTGGGGGGAGGAGAGAGACAAAAGGCATTGACCATCTGAAACAGCTCCTGCATAGATATAATTACATTGAATTACCATATCTTGGAAATTTTGCAAGAAGAAAGACTGTACCTCCAAGGGATGTTTCAGACTATCGTGCAACAGAAAGACAAGGAAGGTAATGCACCTCTTGCTTCAGCATTCAGCCACACACATACCCGAATAAAATGCTCGATCACCGTCTCATGCCGCTGCTTCAGTCCCGCAAAATACACCAGCTCCTCCTCCCGGCCGTAGCTGCACACACACACACACACACACACCAATCAACACAGGTCAACACAGGTCAACGCACGTCAATCCACGTCAACACAGGTCAACACAGGTCAGACTCAGTTGGCGGAAGGAATTACCCCTCATTACCAATCACCACACCTCATCAAACCTCATCACCCCTCACCACCAATCACCACCTAGCGAGCAGCTTCACGGTTGTGGCGTCATTCAGCACGTCCTCGCAGTCCGTCTCAGTCAAAAGTTTGCATTACCCCTCACCACCGCTCACCGCCACTCATTAATTACCATGTGTCACCCACCTGGCAAGCAGCTTCACGGTGGTGGCTTCATTCAGCACTTCCTTGCAGTCCGTTACTCAGTCAAAAGTACTCATCACCACTCATCACCACTCACCACCACTCACCACTGCGCATTACCATGTGTCACCCACCTGGCAAGCAGCTTCACGGTTGTGGCTTCATTCAGCACGTCCTTGCAGTCGCTGAGGAACGCTCGAAACGCCGCCACCACCCTTCCATACTCCTCTCTCAACCTCTCCACTCCTGAACCCTCCTTGGAGCCTCCCGAACCTCCCGAACCTCCCGAACCTCCCGAACCTCCCGTTCTTGATCCTTCCGCTCCTGTCCTGCTTCCTTCCACAGCAGCACCAGCGGCGCCAGCAGTACCAGAAGCAGCGCCAGCGGCAGAAGCAGAACCGGACTCAGACTTGGTAGGTAGGGACTCTTGCTTCTCAAAGTCAGGTGGCAGTTGCAGCAGCAACTGGTTTATCTGCGCTTGGTCGCAGGCAAGAGGAGGGAAAAGGAGAAAACAGGAGAACCAGAATGAAAACGGCGGCAGCAGCAGAACCGGACTGGGACTTGGCAGGTGTGGAATCGTGCTTCTCAAAGTCAGGTGGCAGTTGGAGCAGCATCCGGTTTATCTGCGCTTGGTCGCAGGTGAAAGGAGGGCGAGGAGGGAGAGGAGGAAAAAAGCGGATTAGAGGGGGACGAAGGAAGCGAAGAAAACTGGATAAGAGGAGCATGGAAGAGTGAATGATGGGCCTACCTAAAAGGAGGAAAAGAGAACAAAAAGGTGGACATCAAGTGGAGGGACAATCACGCGTGTGCACGCATACATAAATAATACACATCACTGAGTGCACGTGGCCACCATTGTCATTTCAATCGACTCGAAGTTCACCTCGTTAAACGGCACACGGTGCCTGTGCTTGTGCTTGTACGCCAAACAAATCTGTGTGTTACCTTGTCAAGATACAGCTCAGACGCCCACGTGGCCAGCATTGTCATTTCAATCGACTCTGAGTTCACATTGCCACCATTGTTAAACGGCACACGGTGCCTGTGCTTGTGCTTGTATGCCCGTCCGTACGCCACACAAGTCTGTGCGTTACCTTATCAAGATACAGCTCTGAAGCCCACGTGGCCACCATGGTCATTTGCGCCCGCTCCTGCTTCAGCAGGTGGTCCAGCTTGTGCAACAAAAAGCTCCTCAGCGCGTCCTGCTGGGACCTCGACCCACTTGTGTGTCTATCTTGACCCACTTGTGCGTGTTACCTTTTGAGTCGACTCAAAAGTCTGCTGGGACCTGGACCCACTTGTGCGTGCATCTTGACACTTGTCTGTGCATTACCTTGTCAAGATACAGCTCAGAAGCCCACGTGGCCACCATGGTCATTTGCGCCCGCTCCTGCTTCGGCAGGTGGTCCAGCTTGTGTAACAGGAAGCTCCTCAGCGCGTCCTGCTGCCCCGCCTCCACGAATTTCAGCGCCACCTCTTCAAATGGCACCTGGTGGGCCGTCTGGTGGAGGGAGGGAGCAGGTGGAGGGTGGTGGGAATGATTTGAGTGAGTGCAGGCACGGAGCAAAGCAGCCCATCCTGCTGCTGCTGCCCCGCCTCCACGAATTCCAGCGCCACCTCCTCAAATGGCACCTGGTGGGCCGTCTGGTGAGGGGAGCAGGTGTGGCAGGGGCGGGGAGGGGCGGGGGGGCCCAGGTAATGGCTGTGGTCAGCAGTGGGTGGTGTTGCAACGTAGGGAGGGCGCAGCGCGTCCTGCTGCCCTGCCTCCACGAATCTGAGTGCCACCTCCTCAAATGGCACCTGGTGGGCCGTCTGTTGGTTGCAGCGGGTGAAGGGGACATGCAATGCAAGGCAGGTATTGGTTGTGATGAGACGTGACTGTGACTGGTCGGGTGAAGGGGACATGCAAGGCAGGTATTGGTTGTGATGAGACGTGACTGTGACTGGTCGGGTGAAGGGAACATGCAAGGCAGGTATTGGTTGTGATGAGACGTGACTGTGACTGCTCGGGTGAAGGGGACATGCAAGGCAGGTATTGGTTGTGATGAGACGTGACTGTGACTGCTCGGGTGAAGGGGACATGCAATGCAAGGCAGGTATTGGTTGTGATGAGACGTGACTGTGACTGCTCGGGTGAAGGGGACATGCAAGGCAGGTATTGGTTGTGATGAGACGTGACTGTGACTGCTCGGGTGAAGGGGACAGTAGCAGAGCAGAGCGCCCTGCGGCCCCGCCTCCACGAATTTCAGCGCCACCTCCTCAAATGGCACCTGGTGGGCCGTCTGGTGGGGGGAGATGGTGGAGAGCGGTGGTGAATGGTGAGGGGAAGTGGGGTGGGGGGGTGGGGGGGGTTGTGTTGTGTACAGAGGAGAGAAACCCACCTGAGGAAAAGAATGTGGCGAATCGCTCATAGCCGCCATCTTTTGAATGCAGACTTCGCCTGAGCCGCATACACCTGCAGATACACCTATACACCTGCAGATACACCTATACACCTGCAGATACACCTGCAGATACACCTACAAATACACCTGCAGATACACCTGCAGATACACCTGCAAATACACCTGCAGATACACCTGCAGATACACCTGCATATCCACCTGCAGATACACCTGCAGATACACCTGCAGATACACCTGCAGATACACCTGCAAATATACCTGCAGATACACCTGCAAATACACCTGCAGAAGGCAAGAGCCATGGCATAGTCGTGCCTGTCCAGATACACCTGCAGGCTGCACCCCGTCCCAACCCACTGCTCAGTTGAGAGGCTCACGCGAGCAAAGAGGGTGGCAGAGCACTCATAGTCCCCGTCTGTGAACGCGGAATCAGCCTGGGCGACATACACACTCACACGAGCAGGGGCGCGCTGCAGGGGAGTGCTCATTATGTGTCAGTCCAGTCCAGTACACACTCACCCGAGCAAAGAAGGTGGCCGCTCTTTCATAGTCCCCGTCTTTGAAGGCTGACTCCGCCTGGGGCGCGTATACCCTGTCGCGCTGCAGGGGTGCAATCAGTGGCAGTGCAGTCTCGTCCAGTCCACACTCACCGTGTGTGTGGGGCAGAAACACATACCCGAGCAAAGAAGGTGGCAGCTCGCTCATAGTCCCCGTCTTTGAAGGCTGACTCCGCCTGGGCGGCATACACACGGTCGCGCTGCAGGGGCGTGCGGCAGAAGGAGAGGGCCATGGCGTAGTCGTCGTGCCTGTCCAGATACACCTGCCTGCACCCTGACCTGACCCAATCCCCAACCCACTGTGGGGCGTGTGGCAGAGGGACATACCTGCATAGTCGTGCCTGTCCAGATACACCTGCACCCTGTCCCAACCCACTGTTTGGTGCTGCTGAGAGACGCACCCGGGCAAAGAAAGTGGCTGCGCGCTCGTAATCTCCGCCTTTGAACGCGGAATCAGCCTGGGCGGCATACACGCGGTCCCGCTGCAGGGGCGTGCGGCAGAAGGAGAGAGCCATGGCGTAGTCGTGCCTGTCCAGATACACCTGCCACATGGCCCTGCCCTCGTCACACACAGCAATCTGGGGAGAAACGATGGGGAGAGAGGAGAGCAGTAGGGGGAAGAGTGAGGGGTTTGTCAGCAAAGCACCCATGGCTTAGTCGTACCTGTCCAGATACACCTGCCACATGGCCCTGCCCTCGTCACACATGGCGATGTGAGTTGGAAAGATGGGTAGAAGGGAGGGATGGGAGTGTGTAAGAACTTTTGAACAGAAGTGCCAGTTTGAACACAAAGGTGGGAAACACATGTCGTATACGTTGTTGGGGCAGGAGGCATGCATGTGTGCATGCATGTGTGCATGCATGTGTGCATGCATGTGTGCATGCATGTAACTGATCAGCTCACACACACACTTCATATGTGTTGTTGGCATGGCACAGAAGGCATAGTAGGTCCCTCACATCACATCACATCACATCACATCACATGACATCACATGTCCATGTATGCAAATCCTACGTTTGCAGGTATGTATGCATATCGATTCACCCACACGCGCACATACCTCATAGATGTTGTTGGAGCAGAAGGCATAGTAGGCACATCACATCACGTCATCTCATCTCCATCCATGTATGCACAATCTATGTTTGCATGTATGTCTCCATACTGATTCACACTCACACGCGCACGCACCTCGTATATGTTGTTGGAGCAGAAGGCATAGTACGCTGAGGCAACCTCGTCAGCGACCAATCCGAGCATGCCACCTGGCGCCATCTCAAGCGACGTGGCGTGGAAGGGCAGCTGATCCACCAGCGCCTCGCTCACTTGGTTCACGATCTGATGGCAGGAGCGGGAGAGTTGGGTGGTAGAGGGCGGGAGGGGGAGGATTGAGGGGATGGTGGTAGAGAAAAAAGGATGTATTTGTGTGTTGGGTTGAGAGAGGAAGGGCAGCTAATCTACCAGTGCCTCGCTCACTTGGTTCAATATCTGTTGATGGGAGGGCGCGGGATAAGAGAAGAAAGCTGCTTGGGTTACACTCGCAGGAATGATGCAGATGTAAGGATGAAGGGGAGAGCAGAGGCGTGCAAAGAATTCTCAAAAGTAACACCAACAAACACAGCCAGTTCGTGGGCACAGCGAGAGGCAGGCAGCTCACCTTGGTATGATCGCTGAAGAGCAGCAGCAGGTGGAACTCAGACACTGCCAGTGCTAAAAGTAGATTTTTGAGACGTGATAAAAGTAGATTTTTGAGACGTGATAAAAATAGATTTTTGAGACGTGATAAAAGTAGATTTTTGAGACGTGATAAAAGTAGATTTTTGAGACGTGATAAAAGTATATTTTTGAGACGTGATAAAAGTAGATTTTTGAGACGTGATAAACGTAGATTTTTGAGACGTGATAAAAGTAGATTTTTGAGACGTGATAAAAGTAGATTTTTGAGACGTCTCAAAAATCTACTTTTATCATGAAGAGCAGCAGCAGGTGGAACTCAGACACTGCCAGTGCCGCTGCTCCCTGCCATGGGCACTGCCTATCAACCAACCCACCTGCCCCTTTCCCTCTCACCGCACCTTGATATGATCGCTGTAGAGCAGCAGCAGGTGGAACTCCGATACTGCCATTGCGATCGCTGCTGCCATGCACGCTGCTGCACTGCCTTACCGGCCCACCTGCCCCTTTGCCTCTAGGCTCACCTTGATGTGGTCGCTGTAGAGCAGCAGCAGGTGGAACTCCGATACTGCCATTGCGGTCGGATGCACCACAGCAGCCGCACTGGCAGCAGCGGCACCAGAACTGTCGTCAGTGTCATCTGCGCTGCTAACGTGGCTGGGTGGGAGAAGCTTGGCAAAGGGCAGTAGCGACTTGCGCTGGATGGGAGGCTCAGATGAGGAGCCGCAAGGGAGGCTGGTGGGAGGGGAAAGGGGAGAGGGGAAGGAGGGGGCAGTGCTGCCATCGGCATCAGGGGTGCTCAGGTGGTTGAGTGGAGCAGCTTGGTGAAGGGCAGCAGCGACTTGCGCTGAATAGGGGGCTCTGATGAGGAGCTGGGCGGAGGGGGAAGGGGAGAGGGTGGGAGAGGAGTGGGAGAGGAGTAGGGGACACTGTTGGGACTGGCTGGGAGCAGCTTGGTGAAGGGCAGTAACGACTTGCGCTGAATAGGGGGCTCTGATGAGGAGCCGGAGGGGAGGCTGGCGGGAGTAGAGGGGGCAGACAGGAAGGAGCAACGAGTCACGACAACTGCCCTGCCCACGCACGCACGCAGCTCACTGGATGTCTGAACATGTCTGAATCTCACGACAACCCGAACCGAAGATACCTGGAAGACGTGGCGTTGAGATTGAGGTGAGGTTGAGGTGGCCGAAGAGCACGCCAGGCCTTGGCGTTTGCATGAGAAAAGAAGCAAGTGTTGAAAGCCTGCGGGTTCGAAAAGCAACACACCGATGCACAGGCACGCACGCACCTGGAGGATGTGGCGTTGAGGTTGAGGTGAGGCGGCCAAAGAGCACACCAGGCCCCGCCATCCATGCATGCAAACTTGGAGTCGATTCAAAAATAAACTCAAACAACACCGACCCACGGGCCACAGGCAGGCACGCACGCACCTGGAGGATGTGGCGTTGAGGTTGAGGTGAGGCGGCCAAAGAGCACACCAGGCCCCGCCATCCATGCATGCAAACTTGGAGTCGATTCAAAAATAAACTCAAACAACACCGACCCACGGGCCACAGGCAGGCACGCACGCACCTGGAGGATGTGGCGTTGAGGTTGAGGTTGAGGTGAGGTGAGGTGAGGTGAGGTGGCCGAAGAGCACACCAGGCCTTTAGTTTCGTCTGAGAAAAGAAGCAACCGTTGAAAGCCTGGGCCTAGAAAAGCAACACCCACCCGCCCGCAGGCACGTACGTACCTGGAGGACGCGGCGTTGAGGTTGAGGTGGCCGAAGAGCACGCCAGGCCTTGGCTTTTGCGTGAGAAAGGCAAGCAAGTGATAAAATCCTGGGCCGAGAAAACCAACTCAACGCCACACAGGCAGGTACCTGGAGGAGGTGGCGTTGAGGTTGAGGTGCCCAAAGAGCACGCCAGGCCCCGCCATCCATGCAAACCGCTCTGCGTACCGCTGCTGACGCCCAAAGAAGTGCAGCGAGCTGGGGGGTAGACGGGGAAGTGGGAGGGAGAGGGGTGGGGAGAGTGGGGAGAGGGAAAAGGTGGATCTTGTGTAGCCGCTCCGCGTAGCGCTGCTGACGCCCAAAGAAGTGCAGCGAGCTGCGGGGTAGATGGGGAGGGACATGGAATTGGTGGTTTCGGGGACAGGGAGAAGAAGGTGGTTTCTCTTGGCATTGAAAAAAAACTAACTAACTAACAGACACACAAGGGAGGACACCAGGATAAGAAAGAAATAGTCATTGTTTAGTCGGCGTATGCTAATCTGCACCTTGGTATGAGTGGGGAGGAGGATGGAAGCTCGATGAACTTAGGCAGCTGAGCTGAGAAGCGAAGGGTGACTTTTGAGAACTCTCAAAGCTCAAAAGCCGTTTCTGAGACGTCTCACCAGTTGTATGCATGTCTGTCCGTCTGTACCTTGGAATGAGCGGGGAGGAGGCTGGCAGCTCGATGAACTTAGGCAGCTGAGAGGCGAAGGGTGCAAAGGTGGCCTGTAGAGTGGGAGGAAAGGAAAAGGACGTGTTAGAGGAGGTTTGTAACAACTAAAGAGCAAACAAATCTGGACGAGGCTGGCAGCTCGATGAACTTAGGCAGCTGAGAGACGAAGGGTGCAAAGGTGGCCTGTAGAATGGGGAGAAACGGGAGAAGAGGGATTCGGATTGTTGCATTGCATCTAAAGAGAAGACGATATTCGGGAGGGGAATAGGAAAGACGACTCCCTCGAATCGAAGAAGTTGTGCGAGGACGCGCCCGCCTGGTGCAGTGCAGTCGAATGCAGGGGAAGATGCAAAGGGGGAGGTGCAAAAAAATGCAGTTATACCCCTCCCTGATTGCACCTCTCCTCCTTGCATCTCCCCCTCTCATTGCTCAAAAGGACTAACCTCGAGAGTCGTGGAGCCGACAAAGGCAAGCAGGCGAGTGGCTGTGGCTGCCAGAACGAAGAACCGCTGAGATGATGCTCCTGACGCAGTTGTACCTCCCCCTGCTGCTCCTCCTCCTACCCCCCCAGAAAAGCCTCCCCCTGATGAGCCTCCCCCGTGTAATCCCAGCACCTCCATCTGTGGTTGTATTCGGGGCAGTAAATGGGTGGAATCGAATAATGCAGGAAATATTAGAAGCCCTTTCCTTGAATTAAGAGCCACTTTTACAAAAACAGAAGGGCAAATTCTTTAACATAGGGGCAAATTATGTCAATATAGGGGCACTGGCTTTTTCCTCTCGCCGATTGGCTAGTATTTTGTCACACTGTATTTCCTACTTGCTTGAACCTAGCTCTTAAACACCGCTGCTCACTGGAAGAATGTCAGATAACTTAATGTAGAGGCACAGACCTGGATAAAAGTCACTTTTGGGAATTTTCAAAAGGCACGGACCTGGATGCCCCGGAAGGGGCACTTTTCAGCGTCGGGCAGCTCGAACAACAGCTTCAGTGGGCGGTCTCTCTTGTCTGCTTCCTCAAACGACGCCTCGTAGAGCCGCCCGCCCTCCGTGGCAAGAATGATCTCCCTCGTGCTGCCTGGTGTGGAGAGAGATAAGTGGGGTTGAGACGTGGTGAAGAGTGGTGCAGAGTGGCGCAGAGTGGTGCAGAGTGGCACACAACAAAAGCATACCATCTTCATGTGCCATGCCATGTGGTATACTCTCCACACCATATCCATCACACACCCCATCACGCCCCATCAGGCCAGCATGAATGCCCCACGTTCCCCCCCCCCCCCCCCCCACACATACCATCATGTGCCATGGGAGCAGGCTGCCACGCCACAGCAGCCACAGCCCCAATGGCCATGCGATGCCGTGCCACATGCCGCGCGCGCTGCCACCCCCCATGCACATACACCACATCCCAGTACGTCCCTGCTGCATACATCCCTGCCACCGCTCCACCGGTCCCACTCCCACTCCCACTCCCACTCCCATGCCCATGCCCACTCCCACTCCCACTGCCGCTGCTGCCGCTGCTGCCGGTTGTGGAAATGGCGCTAGATGGGGCGCCGAGGGGCGTGTGTTGCAGCACGGCGAGTGTGTGGCGGCCGCCCGGGTCCACAAACACGCTCTTCACGTGAATGCGGTACGAGCCGTTGACGAGCGGTGCAGATGGGTACGAGGAGGTGGTGGTGGTGGAGGAGGTGTCTGGAGGGATGTAGGATGCCAGGTTGATTTCTGAAGGAGGAGTGGAGGGGGGTGGGTTGGGGGAAGGAAATGAGGGACACGGATTTACTGAGAGGGGAGGGGGGAAGGGGGCGCCGCGGGTGGTGGACGATGCGGTGTCTGGCGGGATGTGTGACGCTAGGTTGATGAAACGGGGAGGGGGGGAGGGGGGGATGGGGGAACAGTGGGAGAGGAGGGTGGGGGAAGGGAGGTTAGTTAGTGTCTGGCGGGATGTGTGACGCCAGGTTGACCTCTGAAAGGGGTGGGGGAGGATGAAGCGGGGGAGGGGGGGAGATAGGGAAGGGAAGACGGGGAAAGGGAGGTTACGTTGCCCTTTTCTGAGGCACATCAATACCGGACTCCCGCCCACCCACCCGCCCACCCACCCGCCCACCCAAGCACTCAACCACCTGCGAGTTCATCATTCAGGAAGTCGTATCGCACGAGGCAGCCGTCCGACGTCCCCACAGCCACCACGGAGTTGGCCATCCACTTACCCACCAGCACATTCCCACTCACTCACTCACTCACTCACTCACTCACTTACCAACCCACCCACCCACCCACCCACCCACCCACCCACCCACCCACCCACCCGCCCGCCCGCCCGCCGCCCGCCCACCTGCCAGCTCATCGTTGAGAAAGTCGTATCGCACGAGCCAGCCGTCAGAAGTCCCCACAGCCACCACGGAGTTCCCTGCAGCGCCGCACGTGATTCGCCCGTGGCCCAGCGCCGCGTGGGCTTTAAGCACCTCCACGCTGAACAGCGGCTCGTTGGAATCGCTAAACCGCTGCTGCTGCTGCTGACGTGGCTGTTGCTGACGTGGCTCATCCTCGTCCTGAGGATCGCGCTGTTAGAGGGGGAGCGGTTGGTGAGGGGTGGGGGAAAAGGAGTGGTGCGGAGCGGTGAGGAGCGGTTATAGCAAGTACATTGCAATGTGGCGCCGCACGTGATGCGGCCGTGGCCCAGCGCCGCGTGGGCTTTAAGCACCTCCACGCTGAACAGCGGCTCGCTCGAGTCACTGAACCGCTGCTGCTGACGTGGCTGTTGCTGACGTGGATCCTGCTGACGTGACTCATCCTCTTCCTGACGGCCGGGTTGTTAAGGGGGGAAGGGGTGGTGCGGGGTGGAGACGGAAAAAGAATGGTGAGGAGCGGTGAGGAGCGGTTGAAGCAAGGGATCTACCGCGCCTCACGTGATGCGGCCGTGGCCCAGCGCCGCGTGGGCTTTAAAGCGACGGTGCACATTTGCCACCCAAAACCCAGAACCCTGGCGAACTGTTACTGCGGATGGAAAGTGTCCGCACGAAATCCTGGTTTTCGCCAGCCAGCACTTTCGCGCTGGCAAGCCTGGTTCAAAAAAAAAACTTCTGAACCCAACACTGCCAAAAGTTGCCCGTCGCTTTAAGCACCTCCACGCTGAACAGAGGCTCGCTCGAATCGCCGAACCGCTGCTGCTGCTGACGTGGATTCTGCTGCTGCTGACGTGGCTCGTCTTCGTCATGAGGGCCAGGTTTGGAAAGGGTGGTGTGAGGGGCGGAGAAGGAAAAGGAGCGGTGAGGAGTGGTCAGGAAGAGTGGGTGGCCTATGGCCGAATGCCACGTGGGCTTCTAGCTTCTAAGGAATTCCATTCTGACTAGCGGCTCGTTGAGTCGAGCCGCTGCTGCTGACGCGACGGCACTTGGGACTTCCAGGGCCGGGGAAGAATTTGGCGAGGGGTGCGGCGAGAACGTGAAGGCCATTGCACCGTCGAGTCGCACCGTCTAATCGCACCGACGAGTCGCATGACCTACCCCGCCGTATCCTTGGTAGCCATACTGCCCGCCGTAACCCCCGCCGTGATTCCCGCCGTAGTTTCCGGCGACTACGACCCGCTCCCGCTCGTCCTCCCAGTCGTCCAACATCGAGCCGCCTGACGATGGGCTGTGGTGGAGTTAAACGGGTATGAACAACTTTCAGAGAGCGGAACGAACGACTAGCTAGCTACCTGATGTACATAGTGCCGCGTGAGCGGGTTCTGACAATGGGTTGCGGCCCGCGGGATCAAGGGAAGACGACGGGAGTCCAGTTATCGAAATCTGATGTACGGTAGCAAGCGACTTTCTTATGTTCTATTTAATGTTTTGATTTGAAACAACAGCCGCCCTAGCTCAGTTGGTAGAGCGCAAGGCTCTTAACCTTGTGGTCGTGGGTTCGATCCCCACGGGCGGCGAACTTTTGCCTCAGCCGTGCTCAGACCCCTCGCTCTTTTTTTGTGCTGTCACTTCTTTTCGCCCCACCTCCGCTCCCAACCCAGCCCAACCATTGCAATTGCTCGTTGCCTATCTGCGCCATTCTCGCCGCACTTTCCGCGACCAGCTATCACTCGACCCTAGATAGTGTTTCTCCGTCGCCATGCTGTTACAGATGGCCTCCCCATTTTCGCTCTCGCTTTCGCTGCCGGTTACTCGCGCCCAAGTACCAGGGACGGCACCGCTCTCCTCCGACTCTCCTAGCAAATTCCGCCCTGCCTCGTCCAATGCCATGCCGACACGTGGCATGTCGTTCTCTTCCTGCCACCACCAGCGCGGTGCGAGGTTGAATAGTAGGGTTGGAATTCGGGCCACGTGTCGCCAAGTCAGCAGGAGAGCGGTAACAACGGCGGCGGCGGCGGCGGCGGCGGCGGCGGCGGCGGCGGGAGGAGGGGACATGCGCGTCTCGTCGTTCGCGAAGGAAATGGAGCGAGTCGCCGCTAAAGAGGCGCTGCTGCTTGCCGTACGCGTTATACGCTTTTCCTCCCTTTCCAAGTCAAAGTTTCAAGTTCAAGTTGCAGCACTGTGCTCTCGTTTTCGCTGAAACCCCCAGAGAGCCATTTTTTTTCCCTCTGCTCTTTCCTCACCTCTCTACCGCCAAATTCTCTCCGTTTTCTCCGTTTCCACCGTTTTCACCGTTTTTTTCCGATTCCCCCCTACTCCGCAGATTAAAGATGCAGGCGGTGTGGAGTCACTATCCACAGGACTGGGCAACGCGGCTGGGAAAATACAAGTGTGCTCTATTACGACCACCCTTTTGCTGCTGTTTCCCCCTCGCAGATTAAGGACGCAGGCGGCGTGGAGTCTCTATCTACCGGGCAGGGCAACTCAGCGGGGAAGATACAAGTGTCTGAGAGGGTGGTGGCTCTAGAGCGACTCAACCCCACCACCCGCCCCACCAGGTGCAGTAACAATGGGGTTATGAATAGGGTTACCACCACAAGGAGCAATGCGGTTACCACGATATGCGCGGGTGTCAGGGCAACGCGGCGGGGAAGATTCAAGTGTCCGAGAGGGTGGTGGCTCTGGAACGACTCAACCCCACCACTCGCCCCACCAGGTGCGAGAGTGGAACAGCGTTACCAGAAGGAAAGGTAGGTAGGGTTACAAGGAGGCTTGCCACATGCACAGGGCAATGCGGCAGGGACGATACAAGTTTCTGAGAGGGTGGTGGCTCTGGAGCGACTCAACCCCACCACTCGCCCCACCAGGTATGGTAAAAGAGGGTTACAACTTACCCCTTCCCTTCCCTTCTCCCTGCCCCCTGTCCCTGCCCCCTTCCCCCTTTCCCCTTCACCCTTCTCTCTTCCCCCTGCCCCCTGCTCCACCCCCGCCCACCAGCTCCCCCCTACTGGAGGGTTATTGGGACTTTGTGTGGGGGGGAGCGAGGAGCCTCCTGCCAGGCGCCTCATGTTTCCCGCTGCCCCCTTGCCCCTCCCCCGCCTCCTACTCCCTGCCCCTTACCTCCCCCTTCCCCTGCTCCCTGCCCCTTACCTCCCCCTTCCCCTGCTCCCTGCCCCTTACCTCCCCCTTCCCCTGCTCCCTGCCCCTTGCCCCTCCCCTTCCCCCTGCCCCTTGCCCCTTGCCCCTCCCCCGCTCCTTCCCTCATGCCCCGCACCCACCCACCAGCTCACCCCTACTGGAGGGCTATTGGGACTTTGTGTGGGCGGGAGCGCAGAGCCCTGGCCTCATCGCCGCCCGCCTTGTGCTACAGTGAGTCGCTGCCTGCTGCCCACCTTGTGCTACAGTGAGTCGCTGCCTGCCGCCCGCCTTGTGCTACAGTGAGTCGCTGCCTGCCGCCCGCCTTGTGCTACAGTGAGTCGCTGCCTGCCGCCCGCCTTGTGCTACAGTGAGTCACTGCCTGCCGCCCGCCTTGTGCTACAGTGGGTCGCTGCCTGCCGCCCGCCTTGTGCTACAGTGGGTCGCTGCCTGCCGCCCGCCTTGTGCTACAGTGGGTCGCTGCCTGCCGCCCGCCTTGTGCTACAGTGAGTCGCTGCCTGCCGCCCGCATTGTGCTACAGTGAGTCGCTGCCTGCCGCCCGCCTTGTGCTACAGTGAGTCGCTGCCTGCCGCCCGCCTTGTGCTACAGTGAGTCGCTGCCTGCCGCCCGCCTTGTGCTACAGTGAGTCGCTGCCTGCCGCCCGCCTTGTCCTGCAGTGAGTATGCTGTGCAATTCCATCGGTTCACTGTGCCGTCACGCGTTCCCCTTGGCGTAAACATCATATCCCCCCTTTCCCTTTTCCTCCCACTTTTGCTACCGTCACACCACCCACAGCCTGTCTACCCCCGCAGCTGACCTCGCTGCAAGCCCTGCAGTTGCACATCATCATCTCTTAAACCAGCACACACACATCATCATCTCTTAAACCAGCACACACACATCATCTTACCCTACCCTCCTACCACCGCTTGTAGGCACCTACCCCCGCAGCTGGCCGCGCTGCAACCCCTATAGCTGCACATCATGCCTTAGAGTCGACATCTTCCCCCTCCTCTTCTTCCCCTGCTCCCCCTTTGGTACCCACGAATCCCAGGCGTCTACCCCCTCAAGTGGCGTCGCTGCAAGCCCTGCAGCTGCACAGCATGCCAGGCAGCACCATCACCGCCACAGCTGTACCATCTTTTCCTCCCCCCTCCCCTACCCCTTCTCCCCCTTCCCCACCACCACCCACAGGCGCCTACCCCCCCAGGTGGCGTCGCTGCAAGCCCTGCAGCTCCACATCATGCCTTTAGAGTCGACATCTTCCCCCTCCTCTTCCCCTTCCCACCTTCGGTACCCGCCACCCACAGGCGCCTACCCCCTCAGGTGGCGTCGCTGCAAGCCCTGCAGCTGCACATCATGCCAGGCAGCACCATCACCGCCACAGCAGTCGTTCGATTCCTCAATGTTGTGAGTAGCTGGTTGGTTGGTGGTTGCTTTGAAGGGTAGGCATGTTGGTGTGATCGCATGTGTGATCACGGATGGTGCGGTGTGGTGGTGTGGTGACAGCATGCACTGCACAAGCCCTCCATCCGCACCATCACTGCCACGGTTGCTGTCCGATTCCTCAATGTGGTGA